TTACGTGACTTTTCGCGTACCTCGCGGTAGGCCATTATCATTGTGGAGCCCTCGGTCAAGAGGGAACCAGCCATCACTGCGAAGGCACCATAAAGAGAGGAATCAAGGGTGTGTGGAACAATTAAGCCCTGGACTGCATGGTAGAAGGTGAAGCCGGAGCCGAGGAAAAAGATGGCTACGCCACTGATCAGGGAGGAGATGCTACGCATACGGGAGTAGCCATATCTGCGGAAAAGAAGGGAAGAGGAAGAAGCAAAGGGAAATATGAAGGGATTATAGAGGGAATACATAAAAACGCAAGGGGAGACTGTGGAGTTTGAAGGAAGAGGAAGGAAATTAGAATACAGAAAGATCCTAAAGGACGGAAAAACGTTTGATCAGAAAATAAGTGGGAAACGGGAGACTGAAGGGGACAAAAAATGGAACGGGAAAGTGTGATAAAAGAATACAAAACAGGAAGAAAAGGGGAGTATTTTAGTGACCAAAGGAAATAGAGATAAGTTTGAGAGGCGACTCACGGGTGATCAGCATCCGGCAGGTGCAGGGAGTAGTAAAGGCCATACGCCAGTAGGACCTAGAAAGCGTTAAATGCAACAGTGTATTTAGAAACCAGCCAAGAAATGCCCGAGAAAAAATTAATCGGAAACAGTAGTATAAGAAAAATTGGCCATGGTATTAAATATATCGCCAAATTCTGCTAACAGCGAGAATACAAAAATAAGTAGACAACAAGATAGGGCAGGAGTACCTGGTTCATTGTGTCCGCAACGGAATGCATCATCTCAGAGAACATGCTTTTGGAACCGGTGTACCACCATACGATCGCTTTCGCTGCCATATTCAGGCTATTTCTGTCAGAACAAAAATCAAACCAGCTTGAAGTAGGTAGCTAGTGCGAACTCGGGACAGTACGCCCAAACTACTTGTGAATGCAACAGTCAGGAGTACCATGGCTGCAAATGCAGCGCAAAGGCAAAAGGAAATATCAGGCGGAAAAACACACGCTCGAGCCTAGAGTTAAAAAAATATGAAGCAAAAGTGTAAATTAAGACAACTCACTTACACCGCAACAGCAAACATCACTACTCTACCAGGGCCGCGGTCGAGAAGCCTAACGCTGTGAGTTTTGGGCTGAAAGGGGATGTAAATGCTTATTTTGAGTGAAATTGTGAGATATTAAATTTAGTAATAGAAGAGACAATAATCGGTATTTTCTTTGCAAACAGGACTGCCGACCGATATAAGGAATACCCAACATAAACAGACGATGTTTCAAAACATCTCTCATATAGCGCCGTAGTCCTGAAACAGTTAACAGGCATACGTCTCATTACAAGACCAGGAAGGTTTTGCTTCGACATATACCAAGTGGGCTGACAAAAAGGTTTCAACGTGAGAAACACATTGATTTTTAGTAGAATGAGTGTGTATTGGGGAGGCTGAGCGGCGTACTGTGTGAATGTTTGTGTTTTGTACAACAAACTGTCAGATAAATTAATTAGGACATCTAAATCAATCAAGTTGTATATTAACGTGGCACAAAGTTATGTGGACTTAATTTTAAGCTGTTTGTCATATAACGTACTAGCACGAGAGTAGGTGTACGTTTACATACTACTGAAGTTATTGGTGGTCAACTGCATTTAATTGTTTTACGACGATTTCAAATCATCACAATTCGAAAAGGAAATGTAAAGCAGAACTTCAAAGTTTTTAAACAGCATAAAAGACCACATCTAAAGGATAATAAATGCTTTTGGGAGAAAGGCCGAAAGTAGCGTCGTGGTTGAAGGTATAAGAATGGGCCATACAATTTAAAATCGCATATTATTATAGCTGACGGGCGCTGCCGTTATAATTGGATATTACCGATGTAAATGAGCAAAACACTGGCATGCACGGGAAACTAGATCGTTGTAAAGATATTTCTGTTGGCCATCAGTTTATTGAGATCATTACGAAAGTCTACAAGTAATAAGGGCCCTGATAATTTTTCCAGGTCTACGATTGTGCAGCACTTCATATTACATATATTTCACTTCCCATACGTCCACTACATGTACGTGCCGTTACCCCGGTTCGGACACGAAATGACAGGTAAGGCGAACTAAGTTCTCATTCTAACGCTTGCATATCCTTTCTTGGGACTGCCGTTTAATAAACGCCTTGGTTTTTTCCCTTCTTCGCATGTATAAGTTCTGCACAATAGGAGTGGTAGCCACTTTAGCAGTCACTCTATAAGCGCGCTCGTGCAACACGAACTCAAGAATATTATCAAAGTATATTAATACTACTAATATGGCGATTCTGATGGCTGTGGTAGCATTGGAAGCCGCGATGAAATCACACCAAACTCCCTTGGAAAGTCATGCTG